ATTAGCATACTGCTAGGTATTTGCAGTGATATTTTGTTACCTTAAAATGGCTGTATGCTTTTAGTTGAATTGTAGTTGGTGGTAACTGTTTATCCGATCTCTAAAGTTTATTGGAGGCATTGACTTTCTTCTTTGCTCTCTGAGTGATGAAAATGATGCATTCCTTTTTTTTCCCAGAAAACTCAGCAAATGTTTGTAAACCACATGTTACTTGTTTCACATGTTTACTGTGTAACACTAGAGCATATTTAATGTTAGTAAATACTGTATTTCAGGCATCATGCACAAGTACATTCCTGAGGTATATTTGCCATCAGTTTGGGATTCAGTTATTTAATCATCTATTTGGTTTAGAAAAACTTGAGATATTTGAGGTGGTGTGCAGGCCATTTTCTAGAATGGGTTGTTCATTTTTCATTCTGTAGTTTATTAGGGACTTGTTTTCCCCCCACTGTGTTTAGAAGACCAAAAAGGGGGCTGGAATGGGGTGTAGAAAAGGCCATTGATTTGGTAAATGTAATTTTTGGGATTGAATTTTTTTTTTTTTAAAAAACAAACAATGTAGAGTGTAAAATGGTGACACTCCAACTTGGTAAAATCCTTTGAAGTGAAATTAGTATTAAATTTTTATGGAGCCAAATGCTTTCAGGTCACTCTGGAAATAGTCTTTGTAAGCGAAGGATGAACACAAACATTGGTCAGGGTCCTTGACAGCCAACATAGGCTGGGGCCTGGGATAGTAACTAGGTTATGCTGAAGTTATTTTCAACTGAGATAGGTGGAAGAATGTACAAACCAACAGCTCCCATCCTGGAAGGTTTTCTTTTAATTAAAAAAAAAACTCAAACAAAAAAGGCTGAAAGTCAAGCAAGAAGGGAAGAGAGAAACTGGGCTCTTGAGAAAAAATGTGCCAGTGTAAAATAAACTCCTAAATGCGTGCTTGTCATCCTTCCAGTTTTTTTTTTTTTTTTTTTTTTTGAGTTGCATTTCTTTTCCACTATAACTTAAGATTTCAGATTGAGGTTTGTGATTCAGAACATACCCTCAGCAGAAATAGTGACTGATCGGAAAGTGCAGTTAGTTGTTCAAGGTCTGTCATGCTCAATCACTTAAAGATGTAATTTGTTTGATATGAATATTAAGCATGTAGACCTAGGACAGCATGGGAGCCACTCAGGAAGTTTATGCAATTAATAAACTTTCATGCATAATTTACTATGAAGTATGCAGGATTTTAGCCACTTCTCTACACTTAACATTTAGTTGTATATGTGAAATCTCCTTTCTTAATTGGGGAATGTAGCATTATATAGAATGTTCTTAAACTTAATTTTAATCATTCTTGACATTAACTTTCTTTTTTTTTATGGTAAACCAAGTGATCTGCCTTTAAGCAGTTGTCTGATTTTGGTTTTTGAAACTGTGATTTTTATTTCCTTTGTACCCAACCATTGTAAGTAGTTTGTTTTGTTTCCTGGAAATTTTGTTTTGAAAAGAAAATAAAGGCTGTGTTAAAATGAGTGTGTTATCTTATTAAAATGCTGTCATAGTCACCGCAATCATCTGGCTTAAACTGGTTCTTCATTTACCATATCTAAGTTAGCAGATTTTAAAAATTTAGTCCTGTACATTATGCTCGCTGAACAAACTAACCAAGCTGTGTGTTACCTCTTGATTTATAGCTCCAACAAATTTTGAATTGGACCTCTTCTCCACACCTGTAAATGAGCCATAGGTGTAATAGTCACTATGATTTACTGAGTACCTACTCTGTTAGTTAGGCCTTTACCTGTGATATTTTTAATTTACAAAACAATCCTATAAGCTATCCTATTACTGTCTCCACTTGACAGAGAAAATTTGAGGATCAGTGAGATTAAAGAATTTACCAAGGTAACATAGCTAGTAAATGATGAAACCTGGATCCAAACCCAGGTCCGTCTGACTCCAAAGCTCATGGGAAAAACCCTGGGCCATACTGGCTCTCAGATGTACTGCATGAATAATAATTCTAATACATTTAGAATAGATTTTCAATTAATTATTAGGATTAGCATGTACTCTTTTTATATATCTTTCATGAGGTTATATCCAGTGTTTGTTTCATAATTTCAGGAGTAGAAGTATTTGTTTATGGTACGAGCAAGGATTCAAAATGTGTCCTTTGCACAAACTTATTAAGTAGTATTTCCTTTCATATTGACACCGTTTATGGTCCACCTTTAGAAAAAAGTGCATTTGGAAATCTTCCTCCCACATCTCTCATTCACCACACTACAGTGACTTGGGAAACTGTCAAATGAGGTCAGATCCCTTGTTCCTTTGATAATTTAGGTAGAAGAATCATGCATATGTTTATGCAAACAGCCCTGGAGGAAGAGTAAGAGAACTATCAGAAATATTCAAGATTAAATGAGGATTTTTAAAGTGTTTTTAAAAATCTATTACCTTTATTTATTGACCCAGTGACTCTGAGGCATTCTATCTAAGGTGATCCCTAAAGGGAGGATACAGGGTACATACTGGAACAAGCATGGGTTTTTTGGTTTACAGACCTCTTAAACCTCCATTTTCTCATTTGTAAAATGAGGTGGTTGTATTAAATGAGATATGTAAAGGCAGCTACCCCTGTCCCTAATTTGCTAATTATGCTTATTGTTAGATATGTCTGGTGACTTTCCATTAAACTTGCACTTGGGAAATCAGGCTGGTTTGGAGATGGGCCCTGATTCTTACTACAGTTAATACAGATACTTTTTGGAGTCCAGCAGACCTGGATTTGTATTCTAGCTTTGTGAACTTGGGAAAATTACTTAACTTTTCAGCTTCAATTTCCTTATCTGTAAAAAGGGTAACTGCCTCAGTGGGGTTGTTTTGAGACTAAATGAAAAAGCATATAAAGGGCTTAGCACTGTGCCTGGCACATAGTAGGTTTGCTCAAATAATAGTAATGACTACTGAAGGGACCTCACATATCACTATTTTAAGAGAAGAGGAAACAGTCAGAGAGAGGTGACAAAACAACCCAACCTGTGAGTCAATGTGAGGTCTGCTGGTAGAAGAGATTAGGTATTGGCCCAAAAGGTGCTAGATCATGTAATAAAGTGAGGTTCAGAGGTGAAAGTGTTTAAGTTGGAGGATAAGACAACATACAACCCATTTAAAATGTGCCATCATTAATGAGCACCACTAGATAAAAGAATGAGATGACAGAATTAAGTCTGTGACTAAAGAGTTTAGAAGGAGCTGAAGTCATAGTAGTTGGGGAAAAGGTGGGTCTTATGACAGGAGCTCAAGACAGAAATGAAGAAGTACAGCATAGATGATGGTCCAAATAGGAGCAGGACCTTGGAATAGATAGATGAAGAATAGGAAAGGACTCACTCACATGCATGTTACAAATGAGGAAATAGGCTCAGGAATTTAACCGTTTGTAAGGTTTCTCCATTCCAGCTCAGAGGTTCTCAACCCTGACTACATATTAAAATCACCAGGGGAGCTATTTAAAAAATTAGCGTCTTGGTTGTACAACAATGTGAATATACTTAACACTACTGAACTATACACTTAAAAATGGTTAAGATGGGGGCCAGCACCATGGTGTAGCGGTTTAAGTGCGTGCGCTCTGCTGTTGGCGGCCCGGGTTCGGATCCCGGGCGCGCACCGAGGCACTGCTTGTCAGGCCATGCTGTGGTGGCATCCCATATAAAGTGGAGGAAGATAGGCACAGGTGTTAGCCCAGGGCCAGTCTTCCTCAGCAAAAAGAGGAGGATTGGCATGGATGTTAGGTCAGGGCTGATCTTCCTCACACACACAAAAAAATGGTTAAGATGATAAGTTTTATACGTATTTTACCACAATTTAAAATTTAAAAAAAATTAGTGTCTGGGTCCCATTCCTATCATCAGTATTGTTTTAAAAAGCTCCCATTGGGCCGGCCCCGTGGCTTAGCGGTTAAGTGCGCACGCTCCGCTGCTGGCGGCCCGGGTTCGGATCCTGGGCGCACACCGACGCACCACTTCTCCGGCCATGCTGAGGCCGCGTCCCACATACAGCAACTAGAAGGACGTGCAGCTATGACATACAACTATCTACTGGGGCTTTAGGGGGGGGGACCTCCCATGTGATACATTAGTATCATACATATTAATGTATACATATTTTATGTATATATATTATGTGTATGTTACATATACATATTAATGTAACTAGGGTTGAGAAGCACTGTCATTGTTTCCTTTACTAATCAAATGACCTCCCTGCGATTTAGCCAGTTGCTGGCTCAAGAAACACAAGCAATATAGCAGCCTCATTAGACCTTCTAATGAATTATTTCCTATAACCATATGAGCTGATAGCCTCTTAAACAGGCCCCAAGGATTTGGTCAATAGAGAAAGCTAAGTGGGCCTCTTGCAGAAACTGAACAGCTAGTTACTACTTAGGTGGAAGACGTCAGAAGACTGAGTCCAATATGAACTCTCCATGCAACCTCCTTATCCTTCTCTCTACCCTTCATGATAAGACTTTTTATTAGGTGCTTTCTGTGCCAGTTATTATGCTAAGCACTCTACTATGTAATTTAATCTTCATAAGCTTCTGAGGTAAGTATCGTTACCATCTCCCTTTTAAGCTCCGTGACTGTCTTGAAAACTGCTTTCTCCTAGTGCCCAGCTTTATTCCTGGATGTAGTTGGTACCAAATAAATCTGTTGAATAAATTCATAAGTCCCTATTTCACAGATATAGTAAGGGCTCCAGAGGTTAAGTAACTTGTTAAATAGCTAATAAGGAGTTGAGCTGGTATTGGAACCCAGATCTTGGCTCCAAAGCACACACTTTTAACCACTATTCTGTGACATCTACTATCTCCTTCTGCTGTCAGAGCTTTGGCCTCTGTTATCTCTACCCTCTCTATGGCCTATGTCCAGCATAAAGTTTCTCCTGTACTATATATATTAAGACTCGTGTGTGTAAGTAATAGAAACCCAATTTGAACAAGCTTAAGCAAAAAGGAATTTATTATAAAGATAGCAGTGTCTCACAAAACCCAAGGATCATGCAGTTGGGCCTTAGGAACAAATCAGGTGCTTGAATGCAACCAGGATGTTTCATCTCTCCTCCTTCAGCTCAATCCCAGATTCTCTGGGAAGGTACATAAAGGATGGCTCCTGATGCAATCAGGAGGATTAAGGTAGAGAAGGTGGTAGAAAAGGGGTGCTGGGGAGATAATACAATAGATGTTTACCTATAGTCCTCCTCTTGACAGCCCCATAAACATATATGCCATTTTCCCCATATCTACAATTCCAAAAATGCCCACACCTAATATAATCCATGGACAACTGCAAGTCACATGCAACTACTGCATCCAGAAGCAATGGCATGGCATGGACATCCCCCTTCCTCCTCTAGTTCAGTGACAATCTAAATGTGGCTCCCCTTGATCCTGCAACCTTTTACCAACTTAACTGCCACCAATAGATCTAACATGCAATAGTAAAGATAGATTAACCACAATGAAAACTTTCTTTTAGGAAAGGAGAGGGGCACACCATTATCAGCCACCAGGCCTGAGTATGCACCATTTCCACCTGGATAGTAATAAAGGAAATAAATTATGAGCATAGAAAAACTTATGGGAGTCAATTTATTGACGCACCTTCTTGCTTAACCGGTCTGTACTTGGGCCTAGGGAACGCTCTAGAAGAACAGTGATTCTCAAACTTGAGAGTGCATTAGAATCACCTGGAGGGCTAGTGAGACCTGCAAAAACTCTCGACACAAACATTCCATTTAAACGCCTGTACTACCAGTCTTGACCTAACTTTAGCATGGCTTCTAGCTGCCTAAGGCCGAATCCCTGGGATGACCCAGTTCCCATCTGGAAAAGCTCAGGGCTGTCAGAAGAGTTTATAGTTTGCTCTTGCTGACACCTGACATAGGCCCCTGACCTCCTTTCTTAGAGCATTTACTAAAAAGGGCTTACAATTGTGAATTCTTCCCCTATCCCTTTGTATATGTATCTCCTACAACTCGGGAGTGTCTCTCTCAAGGACCATTCCTTTGAAATGTAATCATCAGGAAGGCTAGGGCCTCTGTCTCCCAGTATCTGTGGGAGGATAGAATCCTATCTTCCATAGTTGCCAGCTAGCAGACACAGCTGCCTAATTGCATTTACACTGACCAACCCTTTGTAGTTTTTCACTTCTCTGACTTTACTGAGCCCCCGCTTGCTCTTCTGCCTCTTTCCTCATTCTCCCTTTAAAAGGCCCAGTCACCTCTGCACAAATCAGAATGGAGCTCAGCTCTTTCCCCTACTGACAGTAGTTACTGAATAAAATCTGTTTTCACTGCTTTAACTGTCGGACTTAGTTTATCTTGGACTTAAACCACAGATTGCTGGCCCCACCCCCAGAGTTTCTGATTCTGGAGGTCTGGGGTGAGGCCCAAGAATTTACACTTTTAACAGTTCATCAGTGATGCTGATGTACTGGTCCAGGGACCATACTTTGAGAATCACTGCTCTGGCTCATGGTCCCTATCCACCAGATATGATTTTCTAGTGATACAACTTCCTCAAAACCTCATTTGACTGTCTGCTGATTTCATTTGAGGGGACTCAGAATCAGAAGCTAATAACAAGTGCCAAGAATCTTGTCAAGTTATGCTCTTTGAATCTTTAGATTTGCTAAAGAGAATAACCTGGCTCATCTGGTTGCAGCTTCTATTTCTTAGCACCCTACCTAAGGACTTGGCTTATTCTCCCTGGCATTCTGCTCAAGGTCTCCAATTCAGAGCTTGGATACGGAATAATAGGCTGAGTTCAAGGCTGTGAAGCCTCTTTTCTGATCTGCTCTGGGAATGTTACACTTGCCCTCTCTTCCTTGCATTTCAGCTGAATGCATTTACAGAGGGAGACATCACATTTGCGGGAGTTGGAGAACAAGAAATTCTATGGAGGCTTATACAGATAACCTCATTCCAACTGCCTAGATGCCAGTTTCCTAATCAGTGAAACATTTGAAGTGAAAGAGTCCTACTGCTATAAGTCAGCAAAGCCCATGAATATCTGACCCTCAGCAATTGCAGACCTCTTGATACAGGCAGAAGGGCTGCTCTGTTTTGAGTCTCAAAAGCAATAAGCAACTGCTTCACTGCCAAATAACATAGAATGCCAACTTCCCATTAACTGACGTGGGAGATCTCCAATCTCTGCCAGTTCCATATTTTAGGGTCTGTAATTTGCCACACTCCATTTCTGGTACCAGTTCTTGAATTAATACTTTTTGGTCATAAGTAGTTTCTAACCCAACTCTATCTTAAGCAAAAATAGTAATAATATGGATATGGGGTTGCCTCAGAGAAACCAAGGACAAGAATGCCTCAGGAATGATCTAGAACCTGGGACTTAAACACAATGAAGACTCCTTATCTCTCATCTCTGCTCTGAGAGTCTGCATTTTTCTTCTCGTTCTGCAGACTAGCATCTTTTACTTCTGTCCCTGTGGTTGGAAAATTGACTGCTGATAGCTTCCAAGTTTTACACTTAAGACAAAAACTGATCTCTCTTCTCCAATTCCAAATTTCTAAAGAATGAGATTCTGATCACCCCAGCTTGGATTAGTTGTCCACCTTTCACCCAATCAGCTATGGTTATAGAAACCTGACAGTTTTTGCTGGAACTCTGTGAATGGGGGGAGGGTCAGTTCCTAGAAAAGGAGGGCTGAGCAGACAATGTGATAGGTGTCCATTATACTAGAAAACCTCTATTCTTTCCATCCTTCATCCCTTCAAGCCACTGCTCTCTCCTTTCACTGCTTGTTTTCAAAAGAGTTACCTATGTGCACTGCTTCACCATCTACTTATTCTTTGCCAATCTGTCTTGTTCTATCTCCACTATTCTTCTAAGATAAATTCCTTTATGGAGCTTGAAGCTTTTTCAGCTTTTGCGTCCTAATAGACTGTTCTCGGTCTTCATTCATGTTGCCTACTCTTGGGTTCTGCACTTCTGCATTCTAACTCTGCCTGCTATTATCTCCCACCTTCCATTAAGTTCCAAGCCAGATCTGCCTACTACTCACTGTTACAGAACAGAACAGATCTTGTTTTCTGCCCTCCCCCTCCTGAAAGAGTGGGCCCTAAAAGCCAGTCAGAAGACAGGTACTACATCAGAATCAACTGAGGAGCACGTTGAAAATACATTTTTCAAAGGATTATGATTCTGTACGCCTGGAATTGGAGTCCTTGGGGTTATTTTGTGACAGCTCCCTGACAGATTGATTCACAATGAGGTTTGGAAACAAAGTCCTAACCACAGGATATTGTAGCAGTGAGTACCAGAAAAGTACAACTTGTAGTTTAATTTGTGTTGGTGCTTATCTCCTTGACCAAAGAGATCCTGAGGATAAGGGATACTCAATTTCACTTTGTCTCTTCACTGCCTTGGGCAAATAAATAAGTTTCACTATTCATAAACTGGAGCCAGCAACTCTTCTTCAAAAAATTACTGTAGCTAAAAGTTAAATGGATTGCTACAGAAATGTTGGTGGTTATTATTTTTACTTTTCATATGTAAAAGTTCACTTCACTTTCTCATTAATTAAAAACTACAGACATTATTTTTTCCCGTGAAAGAAAAATTCTCACTTCTGGAGAATTTTAGCATACTTTAGGTGAATTCAATTAATCCGTTGCTACTTCCTTTCCCATGATGCATCACTCCTTCCCCCCAAACTCCTCTTCCTCGGAAAAGCAGTAAATAGCCTGAGCAACTCGGTGGATGCAAGGAGTTCGAGTGCAAATCCTAAACACATATCAGCACCCCCCGCCACTTGTGTCCCTGTGAGCGCAAGGGCTGACAGGGGTGGTAATCTTGTTCCACGACCGTATCCTGAGGCTGTAGAGAAGACAACAATTCCCAGGATGCCTCTCCGCCCCGCCCCGCTCCCCCTCCTCCAGCTAGAGCGCGTGTACCACAAAGAAGACGAGGCAACATGGCTCCCGGAGGTGGAAGTAAGAGGTTTCGCCCCATTTGAAGCGGTGAAGAGCAGCCGGAGAGGGGAAAAAAAGAGAAGTGACTAGAGCCCGTCATTGTTTTTAACCTCCCAACCTCTCCAGAGTGCGGTCGGCCTCACCCCTCCTCCCCACCCAAATCCAATCTATGGTTTCCTCCCCACGCAGGCCTCATTCCCTCGCTCGCTCACCCCTCCCCTCGGGAATCGTTTTCCCGCCCCCTCGCCCCCCGAGGAGTGCGCACGCGCCCGCCCCCAGCTTCGCGCCCAGATCACCGCCTAGCCTGCTGGCGCAGCCGCCGTCTCGTCTGCCCGCCGACGAAGCATGGGCGTCCAGGGCTTCCAAGAGTTCCTTGAGAAGCGCTGTCCCGGGGCCGTGGTGCCCGTGGACCTCCTCAAACTCGCGCGCACGGTCTCACGCCAGCAGCAGCAGCATCAGCATCGCCAGCTGCCACCTATGGCAGCCCTAGCGCCCGGGGCTCCACGCGCCGCCAGGGGCTCCGCGCCTCTGCAACCGCCACTCCCGCCCGCTGCCTTGGGTGCCTACTCCGGGGGCGCGGGGCCGACTCGGCACCATCACCCCGCTCACCACTTCCACCACCACGGGCCGGCGCACTCCGGGCTGCACCCGCCGCCGCTGCCGCCGCCCCCTCCGCTGCCCGGGGCCCGGGTGCTGGTGGACGCGGGCTCGGCGCTGCCGCGGCTTTATGGCGGCTACCAGACGGATTGGGTGTGTGGCGGCCAATGGAACGCCATGCTGGGCTACTTGTCAGCGCTGTGCCAGGCTTGTGCCTATCCCGGCGGCGACGGCCTGGAGCTGGTGGTCATGTTCCCCGGGGGCCTGGGCAAGGACCGGCTGGCCGAGTGGGGCCGTCGGTGCCAGGCCGAGCGGCAGACAGCGCAACTGATCGTGGGACACGTGGGCAACAAGGGCACCCCTCCTCCACGGGCCTGGTTCCTGCCACCGGCCTGCCTGAGCCACTGCGTGAGGCTAGCACTCATCCGCTTCCGGGTCAAGGTGAGGGAGGGGCCGGATCTTAAATAATACGCCCCACACCTATTCCCTCCCAACTAAACACCTAACACCCACCCACTTACCTGCCTCCCATCTACACATTCGCCGCCCGATCAGCTAACCCACTTGCCTGACTACCCTCGATCATTTTATCCATCTACCCACCCCTTCATACCACCCCTTACCAATTTGTTCTCCAACATAACCACATCTCTACCCATGTCATCCCGATAACTCCCTTTACCTTCATTTATCCAACTGGCCTATCTCTAGCTTTTAGCAGCATTTCTTTTGTAGCCCCGTTTTTCTCCTGCTGCCTTCTGCCTTAAGGTGAAATGCCTTTTTCCAGTTTTTTCCAGGTGGCATCTCTCTTTTATGTATCTCTTTCCAACCTTGCAGCAAATCAATTAAACAAATGTTAATTGAACACCTTTCTTCTACAACTTTTTTTCTCATTTTGATCCAGTGCTTCTTTTTTACCCATCTGTCCGTTCAGCCTTTTTCATTTCAACATGCTTCTACCTCCTCCTGCCTTAGCCTAAACAAACAAACCAAAAAACCCACTGGCCTCAGTCACTGTTCAACAAGTATTAATCCACTGAGAGTAGGGGGTTTAAAAGACATGGGAAACACGGTTCCTATCCTAGGAAAATCAAATATATACACATGAAACATTTATTTAATGGTATAAAATGTGAATGTGATTATGCTTTATGGTGCAGATTGTAAGTACAGTACGTGTTTTGTGTGTGTGTGTAGCAGGGACATCTGTGGGCTAAAATGGTCAAGGGAGCCTTCCTTGGAGAAGTTGGACCTCACTTAGGTCTTCAAGGATGGGTTGGATTTGAATGGGTTACAGGTTTGGGAAGAGACTGCTTTTAAGTGGGGGAAAGAAAATGAGCAGAAGCAAAAAGGAATATCAAGAGTGTGAGGCCCCATGGGCAATTAAGTCCAAGCTCTGCATGTAGTTGGTCACTGCATATGGGGCCTGGAGAACAGCTTGGCAGCATCCCCAGTTCTTGGCACCACTGCTATTGCTCTGTTGCTTTCCCATACTCTTAGGTTTCAAACTCCTACGTGTAGGGAATAGCAAGGCTTCAGAAGCAAAGGAGGTGGGCAGGAAGAAGAAGAAGAAAAGTAGTACAGGGTTGGGTAGGACGAAACCTCAAACCCATTTCCCAGCCAAGGCTGTTGGGGATGTGCTCACAGTGAGAAGACAGGACAGGGAACTGTCGGAATCATAAACTAAAGAAATGGTGTTGGAGTGAGTAATGAGGAGGAAAAACTCAGCTGAGAGACTGAAAGACCTGCATAGAGAAGCTTGCAGTGGTCATAGAACTTATGGCTAGAGTCCAGTCATGTTAGACTCCTTGTACCGGTATCAAATCTGTGCCTAAGCTGGGTAGATTATAGCTGTTTTTAATAATAAAAAGTCCAATCATGAGCTATCTCAAACATAGCAAGTAGAAAAAAATGTATAACGGACACTCATTTGCTTGCCTTCCTGACTGAACATTTTTCAGTAGATTCTTTATTCACGGCCATTCTTTCCATTTTGTTTTCACTGCTACCACTCAAGCTTTAAGGACTTTTTACTTCATTGTCGTTATTAACCTCCTTCTGGCAACAGTGGCTAACATGGATGGATGCTTGCTATGTGTCAGGTGCTAATCTATGTGCTTTAACAACAACAACAAAATCTCATTTGATCCTCACAATAACCTGTGAAGCAGTATTATCCCTGTTTTCCAAATGAGGAAACTGAGGCACAGGAGGTTTAGAAACTTAGCCAAAGTCACTTGGCAATAAATGGCAGAGCTGGGATTCTGGGATCTGTGCCCAGGCAATCTGGCTCCAAAGCTCATGCTCTTAACAACGGTGCTCTAAGATGAGTCTTTCTAAGGTGCCAGTGTGATTAGATCATTCCCATACTGGACTAAAATCTTCCCTGGCTCCTGGGTAAAGACAAGTCTGGGTCATTCATTTATATTATCCATTTCTTGAGTGCTTGCTATAGGTTAGGTACTATGCTGGTTGCTGAGGTTTCAGAGGTAGATAAGGGGAATCCCTGCCCTCAAGGAGGTCAGGGTTTAGTAAAAGAGACAGACTGAAAACAAAGTTGCAGATACTGTGAGCTAATTGCAAATGATGAAAAATGTGGCCCCTATATGGAGCATGGCTAATTCTGGTAATGGTGTGAACGTAGGAGGAGGCTTCTCAGATTGGTGCTGAGCCTTAAAGAGGGCTGGGAAGGATAGTTCTGATAATGGACTAGGGTATGGATACCTAAAATGGCCTGCTGTGAGCTCTGAACAGATTTTGATTGGAGGTTGGCAGGACCTCTGAACACTGAGTATGGGTTTGTGGTTTCCAAACTTTTTTGTTCATGCACCCCATTAGTCAAAATTTTTGAGAAGCAACCCTAATGTGGCCTACTGAAATGCTTCATCACACATGGTCTCATTTTTAAAATCCCGGCAGTTCATCAAAAAATTAGATGGATTGATATGTGATAAAGCAAGGATAGTAGAACTGGTAGAATCTCGGTGGTGGGTATTCACATGTTAACTGTAAAATTATTTCAACTTTACCATATGTTTGAAGTTTTTCGTAATAAAATGTTGGGGAAAAAATTCTCAGCAGTCCTCTTCAGTCCTGAGAACCACCATTTGGGGAATATATAAATCTTATTCCCCATGCTAGATTATAAACAAACTCTTTGATCTTTTTATATTCTCCATAATGTTTTGTATATTTTAGGTGCAGGATACATTTTTTTTCCTAGATGAATAGATCAGTGATTTCTAAGAGAATGGATTGTAGGAATGACTTAAAAAGTGTGTAGTGTGGCTCTTAATATATGTAGTGGATTTAAGACTGGCTCCAAAATTGCATATGTCAAGTATCTGTCAATGTTATCAGTGAATGAAGTTCTCTCTCCTGGTCAGTGATTTTTGTCACTGTTGGAGTGATGGAAAAGTTCCTGGTTTATAACACAGACTTGAAAGGTATTGGTTAATAACTGATTGTGGTTTGCCTTTTCAGAGGAGTGTTCCACTATCTTGAAGATAGCAGTTTTTCACTTGGATGATCTGCATGCCTGTCATTTCTTTTGACTGAAATGCTAGTGCTTCAGAACAAAATCCACTACTGTATTTCTCTTCCCCTTGGTTTTCTTCTTCAGACAAGGCCACAGATGGGCCTTTGTTCCCAATCTCATTTTCATTTGTGATAGAGAAAATAGAGGTGAAGGGATTAAATAAAAGATAAATTGCTGAGTTTTCTGTTTAGCTTTAGACAACTTAGGACTTCCTATGAAAAGATTCAATGTATATTATTGGGATGAATTATGTCATTTGGTTGGTTTCATTTGTATCTTTTGCACACCTTTGTAAGTGATAATGGCCAATAGCAGAAAAATTAACTAAACCCACAAACTGCTAGCCTGATCTCTTCCTAAGGGTCTCAGAAGTAGAGCAATCTAAATCAGTTTTAGAATGTGGTTTGGGAGATGATGTGGGGTGGTTAAGGGGATGAATGCTTTGTTTTAATGGTTAATATATATTAGAAAAAAAGATAACACATCAAACCCACCATTTCACAGCTATAATTCTATAGAATGGGGCCAATTAAAGAAAAGTGAATTGATTTAAAGAAAATTATTAAGTTGCAGTACTTGAATGTGGCAGAAATCATGTTGGTGGTACATGAATGACAAAGTTTGAGAAGTCTGACCAAGAGCTGATGTCATTTTGTGCTTTCGTTCTCTAGAATATAGTGTAGCAGTGGCTGCTATGCCTCCTGATTATTTACTTATCCTCAGTCATAGACACATTGTGACAAGTCAGTGACTCTTCTAGGTGCTCTAGTGGTAAGAAAAATTATGACAATAGTAATCATTACTACTTCTTGAGCGCCAAGTTGTGTATAAAGTTAAATATCTCGTTTAATCCTCACCAGCTTGCAAGAATGCACAGTATTCTTCCCATTTAACAGTTGAATAACTGAGGTGCGAAGAGGTGAAATGATTTTTCTTTGTTCTGGACACTAGTAAGTGGTGGATAAAAATTCTTGTTCTGGGTCTGTATTGCTCAAAGTCTCTTTCCACAATTCCACCAACACTCTTTCCTTCTTTTTGTACATTCTTCTGTAAGATTATATACTTTTATTGGCCAGATAATATGCCTGGATACATGAAAAACAATAATAAGTAGATTTATTGAGCAATTAGTTTATACCAGCATTGCTAAATGTATAATACTGCCAGGACAAGGCAAATGTGTAAGCTAAGTGCCAAGTAAGCGAGTCATATAGTAATGTTACAGGAATTCAAAAGTAGCAGTCTCTTTGTTTTCTGCATTTTCAGTCTCTCCCTCTCTGGTTTCTTTCACTTACAGCATAAACAAATAATCTTTAAAAAACAAACACTTCCCCTTTACTCTGTAATTCCCTTAAGCCATTGTCCTTATCCCCATTCTTCTCTTTTATCCATTATTCTTGAAAAAAGACTGTATTGATTCCCATTCCCTAGCCTATTGCTGCTTTATATCTGATGTTACCATTTTGAAGCTGCCACATCCATTTCCATCCTTACCCTGTCTTGGTCCTCTTTGAGCTAATTGACACTATTGAACCATCCTTTCCTTGAATTTCTTTCCTTGGATTCCATAATGCTGCTCACTTCTGATTCTCCTTCTAAGTCTCTAGTTTTTTTCTCCTTTCCTAAGTTATTCCTCCTGTGCCTACTTCCTTAAGCATTGGTACTCTCAAGGCTTCTGTCCTAGTCATATTTTTCTACATTCATTTCCTAAGCAATCTCATCCATTATTATGGCTTTAAATATTAACTGTATTCTGATGAGTCCTAAAGCTCTTTCTGTACCCCGACCTCTCTCATGAGGTTTTGACACATCTTTTCAACTCTCTAGTACTTGATGTCTTATAGGTCGCTTAAACTAAAAAATATCCAAGATGGAACTAATTATTTTTCCCCCAAACTTGTTC